CAGGACCACACAGGAGAAACTGACAGGAACAGGATGCTGTCTATCAATTCTAGGATAAAGTGGTGATTCCGTCCTACCCAAGCTGAAGACTGCCTGGGCGATTGGAAAGAGCCCAACTATCCACTGCCATGGAAGTATGGTCAGGCTTCCTGCTTCATCACAGGCTGTTGTGCTCGGATCACAGTAATGACATGCATATAGAGAGTGTGCCTTCCTCACACTCCAGGGCTGCTAGGCCAACCACATGACTCCATGAGAAGCTAGGGCCAGGACCCAGGTAGACCTCACATAAAACACTGATCAAAATTCCAACTGTGAAGGAAGGGTTTGTTTCAGCTTACAGGTTACAGTCCATCCCTGAGGAAAGCCAGGGCAGAGGTTCATATAAGATCCCTGAGACAGAAACTGATGCACAGACCACAGTGGAACACTATTTACTGGCTTGGTCTTGGCTCATGTTCAGCTACCATTCTAGTACAGTCCATGTCCACCTGCCTAGGGATGGCACTTCCCACGGTGGGCCAGCTCTCTGACATCAATTAGCAATTAAGGGAATATCCCACAGATATGAATACAGGCCAATCTGATGAAGACTTCACTTATGGGTTCCTCCTCCCAGGGTGTCAAGTTGACAAGCTAGATTAGCCATCACGGTATGCACTGTCTGCAGACTCTTTTCTCTCTCTGTTTCCTTGGTTGCCATGAGGTGAGGTGCTTTCCTCCATGTTTCTGCCTATAACACGCCCAATAGAGCCAGCCAAACTAATCTTTCTTCCTTGTAAGGGATTTTTTTTCCACAAGAATATAGTAACAGACTAGCTAGGATGACTCTGGGTAAATGTACTTAAGGCTAAGGTTGAAGAACTGAGTTTAATCTCCAGGACCCACAGATACGGAGCTGGAAAAATGGCTCAGTGGTTAAGAGCACTGACTGCTCTTCCAGAGGTCCTGAGTTCAATTCCCTGAACTCACAATGGCAGCTCATAACCATCTGTAACTCCAGTCCCAAGGGATCTGATACCCTCATACCAACGCACATAAAGTTAACAAATCATAAAATATGTCTAAAAACAATACACACTACCACACTGTGCAATTGTAGAGGTTAGAAATCCCAGATTAATTGCACAGTGCTCAAATGAAGGCGTGGACAGATTACATTCTTTCCTGAGGCTCTAGGGAAGAAGTTGTTTGCATTCCTTGGCTCATGGCTGCTTCCTCCTGCGCTCACACACACTGACCTGGACAATCTCACTATACTGACTTCTGCTTCCTGGCACCACCGTCTGTCTCCGTCCTATAGACACCTGTGATTATGCTGTGCTTTGTGAACAACTCAGGACAACTTTCCCTTCTCAAGACCTTGAGTTGCAAGTCTGGGAAGAAGGATCAGTTGGTAAACTACCTGCTACACAGGCATGAGGACCTGAGCTAGGATCCTCAGCACTGGTGCAGGAGCTAGGCATAGCTGCATGCACCTGCAACCCCAGCATTGCATGGAAGCAGGAGCCCTGGGGCTTGTGTAATTGGTGAGGTCCAGGTCAGTGAAAGGCCCTGTCTCAAAACATAAGGTGGTGGTTGAGGCCTCTAGTCCCCATGTGCGTGTATACACACACACACACACACACACACACACACACACACACACACACACACTTTTTACTCATATCTGCAAAGTCCTTTGTGCCATATAAAGTCATGTGTTGGGGGATGAGGTTGGTGTCTTTGGTTGTCATTATATTGCCTATAACTTTGCTTTGTTAGTCTCAAACCCAGGGTCTTGTTCAGGGCAGGTAAAGAGAGATCAGGCCACCATCCTAGTCACCACCTTGACTGGGGGCTGTTTAAGGCCAAGAGCTCCAGGAAATCTGGCGCCTGCTCCTGCTGCCGCCAAGTACAGCCTGTTCTCCTGGCATGACTGTGGGGTGGGGATCAGGTGCACTGGAGCCCTCAAAGAGATTATGGCTCAGCTTGAACAGCTGCTGGATTCAGGCAGGAGGCCAGACCTCATGGTTTCCTCACTCTGCTGACTGGAGTATGTGACCACTGCTGTCAGGTCAGATGGGGGGGCACTCAGGAAGTTCTAGCCTCAAGTCTAGAAAATGGATATCCTGTCAGTTTACTGGTGGACATTTACTGAACCTGAATGTGCCAGTCTTTCAGGAGTTCCCAGACTGAGACCGTAAGGTTTCTAAATTCAGGGGACAGATATATAGGTAAGACACTGAACAGTTATGGGTAGGGGAAAGCTAGAGCAGAGAGTCATGGCAGGTGTGTTTGAATTTAGTAGGTATGGCATAGATTGGCATTGGTGAGCAAGAGCCTTACTCGAGATGGATGCCCTGCTGGGGCTGGGGAAGGTGTTCAGGAGAGGGTACTGCAGGGTAGCAGAGGTCCAAGGAAGGAAAGACTCTGAAGGTGGATAGGGAGAGGATAAGACAGGCTGCGAGGATTAAAGGGCTTCCCACTTCAGCCCGGCAGTTCACAGGCTTGTCAGTGGTAGAACCCTCTGTCCTGACAACAGCTTACTTATGGAGCTAGGGAGGTGCATCCTGGGGCCTTTCCCAGGGCTGTCTTCTTGCTTCTTCAGACAGCACTCTGCCAGGACACAGAGACCATACTTAGTTCCTGGGGAATCCAGTTAAGGTTTAGAATAGAGATTGGGAAGATACCCAGGATCCATGAAAATGAGCATGCAAAAAAGGGTGTATTTGGAGCTGGGGACCCATTTTAATAAGATAACTGAATAATCCCCATGGGATAACTCATGGGGAGCTACAAAACGCACCCAACTGTGAGGCAAGACCACAATTTCTCTACCTGTTGGAGGGGACGGAGCCTGAAAGACACGGTGTGCACTACATCCTCCTGCACTGGCCTCCAAGGAGGATTCCTTGACTTGTGCCAAGCTTCTGGCTAAGACCAGGACAAAAAGGAAGAGAGGGTATGAAGCCTGGCTTTCCCAGAGTGGAGCCAATGGCTGCCATGGCTTGGGCCTCAAGTACTCAGGCCCTAGTGAGAATCAGTGAGGGGAGGAGGCTGCTCCTGGCAGCTCCATCCCCAGAGGGCAGTCACTAGAGCCCAGGACTGAAATCCTGCCATCTTTCCCTTGCTGAGTGAAATGTCTTAGCCTGCCTCATGTTGGTGCTGAGCAGATCCAGCAGGGTACAGGGCCATCCCTCTCTGTCTGTCCTCAAGATAACAGAAATACCCATAATGCACCAAGGTCTTACCACCACCCGCTATAGTTCTAAGTCATCAACCCAAGGTCACATCTTGGTAAGGGACAGACTCAAACCTAAACCTGTGTTGGTAAGGCTCCAGAGTGGCTATGCAATGTCTAGCCAAATTAAGCTGGTAGCTACAGTCTGGAGGCCTGCCTGGCCACCCTACTTGGCTTGGATTTTTATCCCAGTGGAGTCGAGCCCCACATTTTTCTGGGAAGGAAGTTGTCCCAAGGGTGGCTCCTGTTCCAATGACCCCAGCTGCTCCTCCACTGTCACTCCCTACCATTGTTCTCTCTTGGGTGTCAGACCCACAGACTCCTCACGGCCTTAACCTCAGAAAACAGGCCTGAGATGAGGAGAGAAAACCGTCAGGGAATCAGCACTGAGTATAACCCATGCTGAGAGAAGAGGGCGACAGACGGCCGTGAGGTCAGGGCAGCTGCCTGAGACATTTGAAGAAAGCCAGAGCCAAAGGGCAAAGGCAAGAGAGAGGCGGCAATATTCATACAGGCTTGGGCAAGCAAAGTTCAAATGGAGGAGTCTTACTCTGGTTGCACCCTGTTACCCTCCTAGGTTCTTTCTGAAACAGTCATGAGCAAAAGACCAGGTTCACTCTTTCAAAGGAAGCCAGCAGCAGCTTGAAGGCCACATATCTAGGGCTGGACATAGGGTAGGTCACCAGGACCATATCCTGGGGCTCTGAGACCTCCAGTGTGACCTCTGCCAGCACAAATATACCCATAGTAGATGAGTCCAGAAATAGACTCCCAGAAGGTAAGGACCTAGCTTCCTTTCTCAACCTAACTACTTTGTACCGTGGGACTTCAGGCAGGTCTTACCACCTTGACCCTCCTGTGGACATTCGCATACCAGTATGCATGTTCTACTTGGCTCATCTAGAACAGAATAGAATGAGGCCATTTCCTGCACTGGCCCTAGATGCTGAAGAATCCGCTTCTCGTAGAAGTTGGACTCATGAGGTCCAACTGCCAAGACTCCGCCCTAGAATTCAGCTGTCTTGGCTCTGGCAGAGCTGTTACCTAGCAGAGCACGCTGCCTCTGGCTGTTGTACATTAGGTCAGGCCCTTGCAAATGCTGGGGAAGGGGGAAGAGCCCGGTGGAATGAACCTGATTAGTCTCCAACACAACTATGAACCACCCAGATGCAGTCTTGTATCCACCACTCACCAACTGGACAGGCTTCCTGTTGCCGCTCATGACAGGCTCTTCTTTGGGTCTCCTGGAAGCTGGGAATTTGCCCAGAGCTAGAGTGAAGGTCACAATTCAGTGCCCAGACTTGGTTGGGTACACCAACCAGGCAGACATACAAGGGTAATCTGAACTCCAAATTTGAATTTCCACATTTGGAAAGGATGGTCAATAAAAGCAAACAAAGTCCTGTGTTTTGTTTTTTTTTTTCTACCCTACTGTCTCAAACCTAAACTTACATGAATGTAGGTATGAAACCCCAAGATCATGTGTCAAGGCCCTCAGCTGCATCTTCATCCTCAGATACGGCCCCCATACTCAGCCTAGGCCCAGTCAAGGAAGAGTATGTAGGCATTCCCAGGCTGGAGATAGATGATGTTAACCAGAGGGAGACATTCTGTACAGTCCCAACAGTGTCCAAGGCCAGGACTGAGCCTCCCCATCCCCTACCCCATCACATGGTGTCCTTAGATCACACAGTCTGCTTGACTTGCTGCAGCAGGGGGAGGCTCTCAGGCCTAGTCCTGCATGGGGAACAAGGGCCCATAAACAGTAATAACAAAATACTGGTTTACCATTTATTGCTCTCTCAATACTTTACTGGGCACACTTCCCAACATCTTCACAGCAATTTCACCAAGAGGAACCAAGTAGCCTGCTACACGGAGAGGACAGAGCCAGGCTGGAAACCCAGGTCTTGGGTCTCTGCTCTTTGCTGCCACAGGAAGAACACTCCATCCGTGTTTCCGAGCCTCCTAGAAACATGCCTCATGGAGAATCACAGAACCATGGCCATGCCAGGGGTTCAGGAAAGCGCTGTACACCTCTCCCTGGGCAGCACTCCATGCAGGGTGAGCAAGGCGCCTGGCAGGCTAGAGTCCTGGCCAGGTGTTCACAGAGCAGCCACACTTGGTGCAGACTTCTGGACGTGCAGGAACCGCGGCCTGAGGAGACAGGATGAGTGTCTGGGTACCATCTAAGCTCCAGGGAATGTTCATGTGGTGGGGGCTGGGAGAGCACACAGAAGCGATTCAGCTGTGAGAACCCTAGCCTTACCTCCCACAGAAGTCTTCACGGACACCCACAAGATGAAGGTACAGGTCAGGCTGGCTCTGAAGCCAACTGCTGACAAGCTCGGGGTGTCTTGGGTCCACTTCTAAGAAGATGCTTCTACATGAAGAAGAAATGGGTCAGCTCAATGAGGCAGGGCCAGGACCTGTACTTTCAGGTTGTTTGGTCTGCAAGAGGCCTGGGCGTAATGACTGCCAAGGCTTGTCAATTACACAATGGAGGGGGAGGAGGCTGGTGTCCATACCCAGAGGCATTCAAGAGCCGGGGTGCCAAGGTCAAGATGTGGGTGATGACGTCCATGCCTTCGTCACCACCATCCAGGGCCACCAGATCTTCGTAACTGAATGGGAAAACAGTGGAAGGGGAGCGGTGTGTCGGGGGAGCGGTGTGTCGGGGGAGCGGTGTGTTGAGAAGCCATGCAGGCCTTCACAAAGGGCCCTCTGGGACTTAGCCTCTGGGTTGAGAGGAATGCTGAGGATGTATTAGCAAGCAGTTCCTATGTGAACAGGAGCTTTTGCTTCCCTCATCTCTCACACAGAGAGCACCCCACAGAGCAGGGCTGGATGGACCTGCTGAGTTATACTGACAAAGCCCCTTGGGGCATGAAGCTCTCTCACAAGGCAGCTCCTGCTTGATCTGAGGACATTTAAAGCTAATCCTGACTGAGCCCAGGAAAGAGGAGCCAGCTCCCAACCCACGTCACTCATGCTTACAGAGAGACATGGGTTACACTGGGTTTCCCGAGTGTGTGAACACAGGATGCTTCTCCACAGCCAGAAGAAGCGTCAGTGCTGCCTTTCCCACCAAGCTCTTGTGGGACCTTTAGGAGGGCATCTTCCCTTTCTAGGCCTTGGTCTTGTGTAAAGTGACATACCCTATGAGCACCTTCTGTAGGCCTCACTATGCTCAACACTAGATCCTCGCCACACTCCTGCGAGCACTTCCACTCACTCCTCTCTCGAAGTGGGAAACGGAGGCTCTGACAGACTAGGGGCCTCCTGGGGTCAGAGTGCAAAGGCAGCACCTTCCCCAGGGAGGCTGCAGGCTCTGAAGTGTACCTCTCAACCCTGCTGTCCCATGCTGCACTGTCTTCTCCACATGGAAGGGCCTGCACTCCAGCCAATGCTGCTAGAGCGTCTCTGCTGCTCCACCCACTCTGTACCTGCAGATCTCTGGAGCCAGCTGTTCCATGTCCTTGTGGAAGACGTAGGGAGGGTTGCTGACCACCAAGTCCACGGGGCCCCAGGGCAAAAGGTGTGTGCAGCACCCCTCTGTAGGCAAAGAAGAGGATGCATGCATAACGTGTGAAAGTTGGCAGTTCTACTTGCTACCTAGTCCCTTAGGTAGTCCCTCTCTCCATATCTCTCTTTAGACCTGAAAAGCCAGACTTGAAGATTAGCAGCCAGAGTCAGCAGGCTAGCTGGGAGTGGACATGATCTGACATGTAGCTGTTCACCTAGAATATCCATGTTCTCTCTCTTCCCTGGCAAGGCCTCCTCATTAAGCCATATTCAAGTGTCACCTCCAGTAAGCCCTCCCTGGTAGCAAAGGCAAAGGCAGGGCTCCTCACTCTGCAGCCCCCTGGCCTTGCTATTCTCTGCTTTATAACCAATATAGTCTGAATGCACAGGGAGGGTAGGCCGGCTGCCCTCAGACAACCTCTTACGGCTGTTTCTGGATCCCACTTGTACTGGATGCTAAGGCAGGTGTCTAACACTCACACAAGCCTTGGGTACTTCCATGGATAACAAAAAAATCAGAACCGGAGCTGGAAACCTGAAGACACTGCAAAGCTTGCAAGGACCAGGCACTGCTGGACCACCTCATCCAGGCCAGGTGGGCAGGGAGGTGGATTTTGGTCCTAAAGTTTTTTCTTTGTTATTGTTGTTTATTTTGTTTGATTTTTTTTTGAGATGTTTTGCTTTATATCCTATGCTGGTCTAGAAGTCACCATGTTTCCCAGATAGACCTTGAATTCACAGGAATCCTCCTGCTTTATCACTGCTAGATTACAGGTATAAGCTACCATACTTGGCTCTAAACTATTCTCCTTTGAACATCTGTTTACCTCTTTCCAGGAAATAAATCCTAGTTAAATTTATCAGGCATAAGGAATCCAAAAGACCTTGTGGCAGAGCAGTGGTGGCACATGCCTTTAATCCCAGCACTTGTGAGGCAGAGGCAGGCGGATTTCTGAGTTCGAGGCCAGCCTGGTCTACAGAGTGAGTTCCAGGACAGCCAGGGCTACACAGAGAAATCCTGTTTCAAAACAAAACAAAACAACAACAAAACAACAACAACAAAAAAAAGAAAACCAAAGATAGACAAGAAAGGACAGGACAGGACAGGACAGGACAGGACCTCACGGCTAGCCCCTTCATGGGTCAGGTCAGCTAAGGAAACAACAGCACCTTGTCAGTTCTCAGCAAGGGTTGGTCTGAGATGGCCCACAGGTCTGATTATTAGGAAACCCTCACCTTACCCCATTTCTGCAGTGTCTCACCCACCAGTAGCACCAAGATGTACAGGAGATGTACCTGAGGTTATATCAAGGTGGATGATCCGAATCCTGTCCTGCAGCTGAAGCCTGGAGAGATGGGGAGATGGTGGTGAGCATAGGGTGCAAGCCTTGGCTACAAGGACCAGGAGGGAAAGGGAGGCTTCTTGGATCAGCAGTATAGCTGCTGCTCAGTCCACCCACTAAAAGTCCCACGGGACCACTGGCCAGGCTTCCCTCACTGCATCTCTCCTTCAAGAGTGAAGTCAGACACTACTAGGTTTGTACTAGAATAAAGGTCAAGTTCAGGTCCCAGAGTCTAGTGCTGGCCTTTTGGACATCCCAGCCCATGTACCTCTGAGCATTCTCCTGGGTCAGACTAACAGCAGCTTCTTCCTTATCCACAGCAATGACCTGACTCTGCCCCAAGAACAAAGGAAGAGAGGTGGAGGTCTGGGAGATGCCCGTCTAAGAATCGTCCCCTCGCTCCCAAGAGGAAAGAAATATGTAACAAAGTTTTCCTGTGGTTAGACTCTAGCCATACAGACAGGGATGGAAGTCAGAGGCTGTGACCATGCTTGGCTGGGCACACCTTCCTTATATGGCCACTTTCCCTCAATGCGTCTTACAGAGAGCTGTGGGGGATGGTGAGTGACCATCTCCGTGGCTAAAGGCATGGTAGAAGGATGCAGAGATGGCCTACCTTGGGAAGCTGGCTCAGCAGGCTGAGAGCAATGGCTCCCGATCCACAGCCCACCTCCAGAATGAGGGGGCCATCTTGGGCTTTCACTTCAGGGGGTCTCCGGGCCACTTCCTCTAAAACCCATTCAACCAGTTCCTGGAAGGCAGACAGTCTGGATCAGACTAGGTGCTATCTTTGCTCCTGAGGAGCCTTTACAAGGAAGTCTAAACAGCTGGCTCCTACTGAAGACAGGTGGGGATAGCCAAGGCCAAACTGATCTTCACTTCAGCAAGGGCCCTGGGTGGGTCACTCTGTCACTCCATGCCTCAGTTTACACATTTGTGCAAGTTGAGTACTCTTCTCAGGAACATAATAAAGAGTAGTCAGGATCATATACCTGACCCATCACCTGCAGCTACATGCACAATAAATCCCAGCTGTGCCCTTCCAGACATCTTCCCACTTTATACTCAGAAATGCTGAGAATCCTATTCAGCACCCAGCCTCCCTGTGTCTGATCCTGCTTCTAAAGCCTATATTAATCTGTTGGATCATCACCACTGGCTCAGATAGATACCAACACTCAAGGGTCAAGGCCCTACCTGGAGCCTGAACTGTGGCTCAGGCTTGGAAGTGCGGATATAGCTCAAATGTAGAGCACACTGCCTAGCATGTGTAAGGCCCTGGGTTCTACCCCAGTACCACAGGGGAAAAATAAATAAACCAGAGGTGGCTGGTGTGTCCTCAGCTTTCTCACAGTGCTGAGTGTGAGAATTTCCCAGGAGATTCCTAGGCCCAAAGGACAAACACTTCTCCTAATAGGGCAGGGACACATCCCTGCCCAAGTCTTGCAGGTGGCTGTGGCACAAACTGAACATGGTAAAGGGGCACAGTGTGTAATAGCCTGTCTGGATGGTACCCACCACTGGAGCAGGGGGACACTTTTAGACACCACCAGCCTGAATGCAAAAGAGGTTGGGGTCTGCTGTCCACACAGGTTGTATACGGTCATCAACACAGGGTGAGCTAGGAGTGAAGGCTGATACCGTAGCTGACATGTTTCTACCCAGAGTAGAGTAGGGATCCACGCATGTAGCAGGGCAACATGGTCTCTTCTCAAAGACGACAACCCCCTTGGATATGAGCAGGAGGCCCTTCAAGGCTCAGGAAACTGGGAGGAAGCGGCAGGTGAGATCCACTTTGAAGAAGTGAGCCCCTGTGAGGTGTCTGTTACCAGGCCTGAAGGGTACAAACTGTGCCCCAATTCAGACCCAGACACTGAGCCTCAATAAGCCAACAAAAAGAGCCAGATTAAAAGCAGAAAGCAGAAGGGAAGGGGGGAAAGAAGGAAGGAAGGAGATTTATTCAACATGGCCATACTGGGAGGAAGGGCAAATAGATCCACAAACCCATCAAGCTTGTCTTCAGAGTTCTGAAGTGAGATCAAAATTTAAGGGGCAGGCGAGGATGTGCACATCTGAGCGGTCAGGCCAGGGTGTGGTCCTGCCCACACTGACCCTCCATTATTATGGGTTTCAGTCTTCTCATCCTGTCAGGTGGTCTGACAAGTTATTAGAACTGTGGTGTCTCTCTTGGTGGGAGACAAGCTCTCCCTCTGACTAGTGCATGAGATTCCTCAGGACATTCCTACTTCTTTGGGGTCTCCTGTTTCAACAGTCTGAGAGAATGAGGGACACAGCTGTCTCTTCAGAACATCATTTGTGCCAGGCCAGTTACATCTCTACAACCCAAAGAGCGCTAACCTGACTTGAAGATCTAGGACTGGGTCTGCCTCTCTCATCACACTAAATCATGAGAAGATGATGACCCATCAGTCAGGCACCAGATCACTCAAGCCTACTTTCCTCTGAAGTCTATCCTGTTGAGTCCCCAAAAGAATTTGTCCTTCTAGGGCCCCAATCTCAGTGGTGATGCTCATTCACACCAAAGGAAACAAGTCCCAGGCAGAAAGAAGCTGAAGAGTTGGATCACCCCTCCCTGTTTCAGGCCCCTTCTGTACTAAAGAGCTACAGCCCATAGGAGAGAAAAAACTTGGTTCAGTCCTGTGCCAGGCTTAAGTGGGGAACATTGGGGTGTGTGAAGCAAGCTGGGCTGATGACCAGCGAAGAATTTGCAATCAAGGGCTGTGACTAAGGGGCTATGGTACAGGCAGCAGACTGAAAGGACAGAAAAATGACAGCCTGTGTTAGGGGTGTAAGTTTCTATGGGTTTCCTGGCCACAAATGGCCCACTCTGGCTGGAGGATGACCCCTCAGCCAGCCCACACTGGCTAGCCACCTCACAGAGGCATCCCTGACCTCAGACATGCACACACCATCTATGTAAATGGCCATCTGGGGCAGGGTGTGAGGCTGACAGACAGTGGCTTCTTTCTTTCCTTTTACCACAGACCGTGGAAAGCTCATTTAAGTGGAGGACCATCTGGTGACTATGTGGGAACTATCTATGTCGAGACCACATCCAGTCTAGAAAGTTCTTTTTTATACAGTGAAGACCTTTCCTCTACCTAAAGCTGTTGGCTCTGAGCCAAGCTAGCCACAGACCCAGGTCATCTGTTCCAATTGAATCCAGCAAGAATTCAAAACATGGTATGACAGAAGAGAAATACAGGACAGAGACAGGGAATGGGCAGCTGGTGGTTTTCCCTGGGGCCACTGCTCCAGATGGGACTGTACAACTCCTACAGAGGTGGAGTGAGGTCTCAGCAGGATACAAGGGCCATGCACACCCTCTGTTAGGACCGATCCTATCTTTGCTGGGCTGGCCCTAGTCAGGCGTACTGCCTCCCTAAAACAATTCTAGCACTGAGCCTCTCCCCACCCACAGTCACACAGCACCAGATGGAGGCATAATGACTCACAGCCCAACCTTGGGTTTCCCACTGTCATACTGTCCCACTGTCACACTGTCACATTGTCACACTGGAGGCTTCACTACCCTCTCACCCCCTAGGGAAAACCAAACTCATCAGGCCGCAAGCCACTTGCAATTTTGCATTTCAGACTTTCACACCCACCATCAAAAACCGCCCTTTGATGGACAGAGACTACAGACTCCATGACCCCCTCCCCTGAGCCCCTTCTCTCCACTCCCTACCACAGGCCACGTCCTCTTGATTTCTTAGTAAAGCAGCCCCGTCTGATGTGGCTTCCCATGGGGGCAAACCTGATAAGTTCTCAGAATTGTCTGTACAGTGAGGCAGACCTGGCCTCTCAGCCAACCACAGCATCCTCACCCTCCCTCCTCCAGCAGTAAGGCTGCCTTCCTGGCCCAGACCCACCTCACGTGGGTGGGTCTCACAGGAGCTGAAAGCCCCATACTCAGAATCCAAAAACACACAGCAGATACCAGGTCAGCTCCAAGGGGACGCAAAGGCCACTGTGATAGCTGTCCCTCTATGTTCTACGCCTTAACAGTCTCCAAGGATAGCAAGTGATCTCAAGGCCAGTAGTCACATATTTGGAAAAAGCTACTGGGCAATCCCCCAGAAGCCTGAAGATGACAGGCCACATCATGCTTGGAGTATCTGTACCCTGGCCCAGGTCATGCCAGTTCTAAATAGGATAGAGTCAGAAAGTTCAGGTGTGCTTCCTGTTGGTCCCCTTCCTTGACAACCCTGTGACTTCTCACAGTACTGCCAAACAATAAGAGGTAAACCAGGTGATCAACAGATTTCATTTTTTTGTTTTTTAATGTGTGTATGGTATTTTGCCTGTATGTGTGTGTATATGTACCGTGTTCATGCAGTGCCCAGAAAGGCCAAAAGAGGGTATCAGATCCCATGGGACTGTAGTTAGAAATGGTTGTAAACCACTGTGTGAGTTCTGAGAATTGAACCTGGCTCCTCTGGAAGGGCAGCCAGTGCTCTTAACCATTGAGCCATCTCTCCAGACAGATCGGAGGGTTCATGACCAAGGGATGGAGATTAAAAGGGTGACACGCTGGCAGCTCAAAGGCCATGGGTAGTAAAGGTGGAAGGGGACAGGAGCTTTTCAGAAATCAATCTTTTTCAGAGTCTAGTGCCCTCTGATTTTTCTCAGCATCCCTTAATGCAACCCCATGAGTCCACTCTCTAGCTCCCAGCTCTGCCATCAACAAAGTCAGGAGAAATCCAAGAAAAACAGAAACATCTCTCCCAGATCAGGTTGTGTCCCCAAGGGGCAGCATGCATGGGCCACACAACTGCCAGTTCTAGTCATCTGAGGAACTGACACAAGCAATCACCTCACCAGACAACGGACTTGAGGAGACCACCAGTCACAAAGAGCATGGCCTGATAGTCCATCACCTGAGCCCACAGTAGGCAGCAACTACCTGTAAGGTCACACAGCTCATACCAGGCCTCTAGTAGAGCCCTCCCTACTCCCCCCATCCCCTCTAAATCACTGAAGGCCATTTATTTCTCATGGGTTGAGTCTGCCACAGGCCTATAGGATAGCTCCTAATATGTGGGACAATGCTACTTGGAGTATTCTATGTCATTTCTGGTCACTGAGGCTGGGGCAGAGGCTTGGAATGTAAAGACAGTCAAAGGGAGGTGACAAGAAGGGTTCTCAATCATATGTGGAAGGGTGCTGTGAATGGCAGCCATGGGGCCCCAGCGCCCCCTGGTGGAAATCTGGGGCAAGACAGGTCCCTTTTCTCATCTCCATTCTGTGCTAGTGAGATACTCACTTCTGTCTCAGGCCGAGGAATGAACACTGGGGGTACCATCTTCAGATTGAGCCCCTGAAAGTCCCACTCCCCAAGGATATACTGCACCGGCATCCTGCAGGAGGAGTATCCAGGGAGTCATCAGTACCAGAACCAGGAGTAGTAAGGCCAGAGCTGAACTGAGGACTACTGTAGCTAAGGCTATCTAGCAGGGTCCTGCCTGCAATACCCTAGGACAGTCAAGGCCTTCCCTTCTTTCAATTTACAAAACCAGTTCCTCTCTTGATACTTTCTTACCCCAACAGATCCCTAGCCCTTAGACACTTTACTCCTCCCTGACCATAATTTAGTGGAACTGGCAAAGGACGGATCTCTGTAGAGTCATCTGTTCATGGGTGCTTACCTCTGTAATCTATGGTTACATAGCTCCTGGATGCATTCCAATTGTTGAGGGGTCAATGGCTTGGTCCAAAGTGCTGGTCTCAGGCTCTGAAACTGTTCCCATGAAGAATGTAAGTGGCTGGTTCCCTTGGTCTAGAGACACACACCTGGGTTTCTTGTGTGGACAATGTCTGTCAACACTAGCTACTTAATCATCCCAGAACCCACAGTGCCTGGAACACACTGCAATAGTTTGTTGGATGAATGAATAAATGTCTGCCTGAAACATTTGTTCAGCGAAATATCACCAGTCTCAACTAAGCAGCCTGATTGAGGCAAAAATTAAAATAGTAAAGTAAAATTAAAAAATATAACCCCCTCACTATCCATTCCCCAGAGACCTCCCTCCTCCCTCTCCCTATCCTCTCTAACATTCCACTTAACTGTTTTGGCTCCAAGGACATGAGCCACGATGTACTCACTGGATTCCCGGGCCTCTGGGATACCTCTTTCCTCAAAGACCCGTGTCCAGTGATTAACCATCCCTGAGGCACTCAACAGCCCAGCCAGAGATGAATAAGTCTTCCATGAGTTGAAGGCCCAGCCCCGGGGGGCTCTCCTCCTTCCTCCGGGACCAGATAGAAGGGTCCAAATTATCTGTCCCCAGAGCTTCATTCTTGGAGAAAGGTTTCCAAGCTCTCTCTTGTGCTATATCAGTCACTGAGATAAGGGCTGGCGGTGATCCGTGGGCTGGGCTTGAAGAAAATCAGTCATGGGTTCCAGTTCTCCATTGTTTTGTTTCTAAGATGTTGCTGTCATCCTAAAGAAGGATGTGGAAAGACTCAAAATGTGCCAGAAAAGGGTGTGCTTTAGTCTGTCACCTCCTGGACTATATTCATATCCCCAATCACCTATCTGATTCCTTCTTGTCTTGGCCAGTAATGTTTTGTTATTTTTGGTAGAAGCAGGTTGAACTGGTAGAGCTCTGTCCCTGTTAACAGTCAAGGTGTAGGTTTGGGAGTAGGTTAGACCTATGTCAGACCCCAGTGTGAGTGAAATCAGTTGAGTCGTTTCTGACTTCCAGTTTGCTCATAATGTGGAAGAAATAACACCAGGTTTCTGGTGAGTGGTGCCTTGGTCAACGAATATCAGGGGCCTGGAAGTCCCTTGGGACTCACTAATAAACTTACACACCAAGGACTCACTAACAGATGGAAGAAGACTGCCATGCTTGGGAGCTTTGCTTGTGACATTCTGTGTGTATCATTATTGTTTAGAAGCTGAAACTTTCCCTCTATTTTAACCCATAATCCCTGGACATTGGTATAAATCGAAGGCTGACAAATTAACAATGTTACATTTAAGTTAGCATAAATAAGTGATCTGAAAACTTAAAATCTGTGGTCCCTTCTACTTCCAAACTAAACTAACATTTGCTGAGAACCTGCTAACTGCCACATGCAGTGCAGACAGGGCTCCAGAAGAGGAAAGCAACTTTCCCACAGTAACTCAGGTAGAAAATACCCCGGGCAGAACACAAATCCGGCTCTGCCAGACTCCTGACGCAACTGGGTCCACCTGTACCCAGTTCCGGAAGGAACCAAATCTCCAAGTCTTGACACAGCCTCCATCCCAAATCCGCAAGGACATTATCAATGGCTCAAATGAGCGCGCCCTCTCTCCACCCCTGAATGTGAGGGATAGGGCCATCTCTGTCTCAAATCAACTTTGCAGCCCATGCATTCCCATCCCGATCTCCAGCTCAGGCGCATACCTGCTAGAGGGCACGCACGTTTACCCTGCCCATATACCGGTACCAGAAAACATTCCCAGGATCGGCCCCCGGATGTGTGTAACCTGCAGTGCACTCCGTCAGCATCTTGCTTCCGCCTCGGTGCAGTTAAGAAAGGGCCCCGGCAAATCACGTCTTCCTGGCCTAGAGTTCCTACAGTGGCTGGATTCCCATTTGAAGATTGTGGTGTGGTGAGGAGGCTCAACTGACCGGTACCTGCAGCGCCCCCCCCCCCCCCACACACACACAAGGGGAAGTACAGGGATGTGAGAGATGCTTTGCAGGGTCCCAGATCCACTAGTCTTCCTTAAGGTCGGAGCAGAGATGTGGCTCCAGCCTACGGTGATTGCTTGAAGCAAACGTTTACATATCCAGCTGGGTTGGTGTGTGGGAAAAAAACAAACCGCGAGGATGTCACCCACGTGTACTGGGTGTGAAAACCAGATTATTTAGGGCGGGGTGCGTGTGTGTAAACTCTTCTAAGATCTTGTAAACTGAGACTGGCAGCGTGTGGTTGGATTTCAGTGTTTGGGAGCAGTCTTTGTTTTCGGAAAGGGACCCTCTTGACTTCAGACACACATAATTTGGAGCAGATAGCAAAACAGCGAATACTGGAGAACTGGATTTGAATCCTGATTCTGTTGGTAGCTCGTTGCTTAACTTTGTTTAAATGCCTAGACCTTCTAGGCTTTAGTTATGTCTTTTGTAATATTCATAACATTTACAGGACCTGGTTGTGCAGGCACGTAATCACAGCTACTGGAAAAGCTGAAACAGGAGGATCATAGATTCAAGGCCACCCTGAGTAATTTAGTAAAAATCTGTCTGCAAATTTAAAAGGCTGGAAGGGACTTTGAAGAGATGGCTCAGAGGTTAGGAGCACATATTGTCTTGCAGAGAACTGTGTTTCAGTTCCAAGCACCCATGTACACATACCCACCCAAACATGCATACACATAATTTTGAGAAATAAAATATTTAAAAATAAAAATAGTTCATGGGGGTAGCTCAATTGATGCGCTCACTTAACATTCACACAACTCTGGGTTTGATGTTCATAGAAGTGTGGCAATACACACTTATAAATCCCAGTTTTCAGCAGATGGAAGCACGGGAACCAGAAGCTCACCTGTCAAGGCCAGACATGAAACCCTGCTTCAGAAACGTAAAAAATAAAGTATTGGAGTAAAAAGGGAGAGGGGCTGGGAACTGAATGTACTGGTACATATCTGTAAGTCCCAGTACAAGGAGGTCTGGAGAGACGGCTCAGTGAGATGGGGTGGGGGTAGTTTTAAATGGTTGGAGATACAACTCTGGGGTATAGGAAATTGGTATTTCTGTCCTGAGATGAATTTTGCTGTGAATGAAAGCTATTATGAGATGTATAGGTGGGCTATCGCGCAAATAATTCCATTCTGTTGCCAACATCTCTGCACTGAAGAGTCTACATTTCTAGCCCCATAGTTGGAGTCATTTACCAAAACATCCTTGTACCAAAACATCAGAGTTCCTATATACACAGGAAACTGAGACAAAAGAAGAGAAGCAGTTTGTTGCTTACGGTCATAAACTCTATAGAGGATCAAACAGTTCATTTTAGGTTTCAAATACTCCAGGTCTGGTGGTGCTCTCACCAAATCTCTTTACCTGTTTTTTGCGGCTTACAAGTCTGCCCCAGTGCGGGTGGAGCTATCCAGGAGCCAGAATTTTGGTCCAAAAAGGGCCTGGCTACCTACAGTCCACTGCCCAACTTCCGGCAGGCCACCAGGGTCAGAGGTATTCTCAGAGAATCTCTTTTGGCTGTCGGGTTTCAGCTCTAAGCTCCCGCTGGGAGCGGAGCTATATCCGAGCGACAGGCGAGGGAGCCAATGCTGGTCGGGCTTTAGGTGTGGCAGCCAATCAGGGTCCGGGGGCGCGGAGGGGGCCGGGAGGCAAGGCACTCGGCTCCTGGGGATCCCCCGAGGCTGCTCATCTCAGCCCCACCCCCTCCGTGGACCGGGCCCAACCCACCCCAGTTCAGGTTGTCAGCCGGCGCAGGCTAATACTAGCTGATTCCTGCGCGCACGCAAGGCAGACCTTGAGTCGGACCTGTCCCCCCAACGTCCGGGCCTGGGTGTTGCCCTCGCCCACGCCTCCTGCCGGTCGCTACCACCCTTAGCTTCTCAGACTGAGCTCGGCGCCCCGGAGAGGATTAAGTAAGTGCTGAGATCGGCTGCTACTGAGCAAGAATGGAGGAATTACAGGGTCGTGGAGGCGGGCGTAGGGATTGAGATAGGGACCAGATGGCATTCAGCTTCTTGGAGGTCGGGGTGCTCACCACTTTTATCCCTGTGGTCTTCCCTTACCCTTTGGACCCCGAGGCAGGCCAAGAAAATAGTTGGCAGGATGGCTTGTCTCCTTTTTGGCCAGTAATAAACAGACTTAGAGCAAGTTAAGGGTCTGGTCCAAGGTCATGGCTGGGATCAGCGGCAGAGCCCAGAAGAGAACCTGAGACTTCTTGCTGAGCCAAGCTGGGGAGGACAGAAAGGAATGCGTCTACTCCCTGCATGACCCTCTGCCAGCTTTGCTCCTTCCTAAGGGACCATGAATGATATGTGCACACCACTCACGCATATGTGACACCTGCAAGAGGAGGCATCCCATGTACACCTATGAGCCACACAGAGACATGTATGTAGCCATAAGCTAGGAATCCTTTCTCTTTCTAAGTCTACACCTCTGCAGCACTGCTAGGACTCATTTTCATCCTGCTTTATCCAAGACCTACAGAGGCTGGGTGATCTTCCATCCTCTGCTTCCAAACTAGTAGAGAAATGGGTGTTTCGAAGTGGGTATTCCATCAGTGCCTCTGAAGATGTAACTCTGTGCATTATTTCTTGGACCACCTCTGCCAACTGTCTTGCCAGAGGATCTAGCTCAACCTATCCTTCCTGCCTCTTGGTGTCTCCACACCAGCCCCACCCTAGCCCCAACCATAGCCTGGGTCTCACAGCCAACTAGGTCCAGAGACGGCTATGCCTAGCTCCTCCTGGGTTGTTGGTGGTAGTGATGGAGATTTGGAACATTTTCTGGGTTCCTTCTGTGGACAGGCCATGTGCTTGGCTAAGTTCTTTCCAGCTCTGGGGACTTGTTCATTCTGACATGCCATTAACCCTACAACACCATGGGGTTGTTCTTGATATTTCCCACTTTGAGAAAAACTAGACACATAGAAGAGGGATGACTTGCCTGAGGTTATATCAGGTCTGTCTGAATCTTAGGCAAGTATTTCTCAAGCAGGATGAGGGATGTGGGTGCAGGGAGTGAGGAGGTAGGAGAAGTAGCAATTACAGAGATAATTGTGCAAGGGGTGGACTTTTTCTTCAGGTCTCCTGCATCTTCTCCCATCTTCCAGTTATGAACACTGTAGTCATCATGCATGGGTGACAGGGCTTTGCTTTCATGTCCCTATGTCCCTACAGAAGCCTGTGTCCTAATACCCCATGAACTTGATCAAGCTCTGCCTGACTTAGCTCTGTCTTGAAACCTTTTACTTCTTCGGTGCCTTCAGATTCTAGAGGGACTTGATCTCACAGACATGCCCCTAGCTGTAACTCCTGCTTTTATTCTTGCCTTTCTAGAACTCGGAGAGGGAGGGGTCTCCTGGTAAGGATTCAGCTGTGCCAGTGGTCATCACGGTGGTGGGAACTACAGCCTTGGACACTCCTAACGTCAGCAATCAGTGGGCAATTTGACTGAGCACTGGCAGTCTTCCAGCATCAGCATGAACTCCAGGGTCCCAGCCACTCAGAGCTGGTTCAGCAGCCACCCACCCACCACTGAGCCTGACTTGGAGCCTGCCACTGAAGGCTCTACCACAGAGACCACCACCCTCAGCCCAGAAACCACAAGCTTCAATGACACCAGAATCCCTGATGTGGCAGGTGGTGCAGCTGGTGTGGGTACCATGCTTCTGTCTTTTGGGATCATCACAGTGATTGGCCTGGCTGTGGCCATGGTGAGAGCCGGGGCAAGCTGGAGAAGGTCTGGACGGCTGTCCTTTGGGGGAGAGTGATTAGTGTTTAGACTTATAGACTAGCTAATTAGAAAGTCTATTAATGATAATGCAGTCCCCTCCCACCCACCCCTAAGATTTTTTTTACCAGGGCCCAGATGAGCAATTCTAATGGGCAGAGCCAGAAATAAGTCTGAATGACACATGGTGTTTGGGTCTGGGGCTTATAAAATTGAGGTTGGGGAGGGGTCCATACACAGGGTCTTGATAGGCAGATGTTTGAAGCAGGTAGGAGGTTCTGTGAGCATCAAGCAGGGCAGTGAAACAGGAGTGTGGGAGTTTCAATAGCAGTAGAGGGCAGAGATAGTTGGGATATTGTGTGGGATGCAGAGTCCGGGTGGGAGGCCGGCCGTCAGCAGTTACTTTACATGTTTGTTTGGCAGTTATTTACTGATTCTCTTCCTTTACCCTTAGGACACAACAGGGCTGGAAGAGACAAGGTCCTGATTTGTGTTTCTGATAAAGAATGGGTTAATAGGCAGGGTTTTTTATCTGGGATAGGTGGTCAGAGTCAGCTGGGAAGAAACTTTAGAGCTCGGATTCCAGGTATGAGAAGGGGCAGGGGCAGGCAGCCAGCAGAACAGAGGGGAGCTAGAAGAACACTCTATCTTTCAACAGTGACAGACACAGAGAATGTCACTAAAGAGCCACTAGAACTTGTAAAGTTAAGACTAAGAAAAATGCGGTGCACCTGAAGCCCCCCAGAGGGGCTGATAATAATGCCAGTCCTCCCAGTGCCCTTTACAAGCAATGATGGCTAGCTAGCCTTGAGCTCAGGATCATGTGGATCTGACAAACACAGCTGGATGGGATTCGGGGTGGGGGTCGGAGTGGGGGATTGGTGATACAGATCAGTAGCCAAGTGCATGCATAGCAGGTACAAAGTCCTAAATTCAATAGTAAGCACTGGACAAAAAGCGAGCAAACAAAAACAAACAAACAGCACATAGAAACACAAAACAACAACAACAACAAACAAAAAAAATAGGGCAGGGATAGTCATCCATGGCCTGGCTAGGGCCACTGTTAAACCAGGGTTGCCATATGGGTCCTGCAGGGTTGGGACAGCTGCCAGGGAACAACTGCTGGCCAGCAAGTAGGGCTAGGGTATGTGACAGGCAGAGGGAGGCCAGGGAGGAGAGCTTTCCTGGGGCAGGAGGAAGGTAGAAAGCTAGTGTTTGCCCTTAGCACCTACGTGGTGGCTCAAACAGCCTGAGATACCCTAGCCTCAAGGGCAAATGCCTTAGAATCTGTCTTGATTCTGAGCAAAAGATTTTGACCTGGGAATTTGATAAGGCTACCTTGCTTTTTGTCCCTAAGGGACATCGGGCCAGAGTGGATGACCTTCCCACCAAAGGTAGAGAGGCAGAAGGTGATGGGACAAAGATAGTAGATGGCACAGAGAAGAGAGGACTTCTAGAATTGCCCCCCAAGTGTCTCTTCCTTCTCCCTCGTGCCAGCCTTGAGCTATGCCATGGGTCATGCCTCATGCCTCATGCCTCACACAGGAGTGTGAAAAGACCTTGGTGCAGGTAGGAGTGGAGCAGGAAAGCTCCCTGGGAGATGTGTGGTGGACAGTGAGAGGCAGAGAGATTTGGAAAGGAAGTAGAAGGATGTGCTCAGCCGGGGTGGAAGGGCCACGGGGCAAAGGCATGCAGGCTGGATGGGGCTTTTGTCTGGCTTTTCCTGTAGATTATCCTGAGTCACAGGCCACAGGGGAGGGAGGACATTTGGAGTAAGAGTCACAAGGCCAAGGAGCACGCTTGGGGTACTGTGGTTGGCGCTCAGGCTGGGGATGACCCAGAGACCTGACTTTCTGTTGTTTCTACCCATAGTACAGCAAGGAGTTACTCCCTGGAGCAGTTAGATGAACTAGAAACACTTCAGCGTTTTTCTGCTTGAGATCAGATGGGAAAAGCTCTGAGCCAGATTGGGAATTAAACAGATTAAAGCTATGAGTGGGCTGCAGAGATTGTGGGAGCCACAGGGGCTTAGGACAAACTCAAGGTTGTGTTTTTTCCCCTAGGCAGAAGCTGCCATATTTTTGTTGTTGTTTCTTGTTTGTTTGTTTGTTTGTTTGTTGAGACAGGGTCTCACTATGTAACCCTGGCTGTCTTGGAACTCACTATGTAAATCAGGCTGGCCTCAAACTCAGAGATCTGCCTTTGCCTCCTGAGTGCTGAGATTAAAAGCTTGTGCCACCACCACCCAGCCAGGCTGTCATATTCTTGATGGTTAAAACTTGCCAATTTGGGGAAGAGCAGATGGTGGCAGTAGTCCCCAGAGTTCCTGCCCAGGCGTGTGCTCCCAAATGCCACCCACTTCCTCTCTCGCTGTGTTTAGTACCAGGTTTCCTGCTCCTGCCTGTGGGTTCTAGATATGATCTGCTTATAATCCTCTTACCTTTGTGTCTGGACAAGGGATGGAAGGTCCCTGGGACCTTCTTAGGTTTCTCTAGAATCAGGACTCTAAGGGGTGACCCTGGGGCTCAGGGATGCCTAGAGCCTCTCTCTCTGTGCTGCAGTCTGCCTACTGTCGATCTGCTGCTCTTTTCACATGGCTTTGGTGAGAACTGAGGGGTAGGGACATGCTGAAGTATTCCCTTTCCCCCATTAGCACTGAGGAGTCCCACGCAGATGCTGAGTGGGCAGTTAGTCAGGATTTGGAGAGCCGGAAACAGTCAATTCCAGACAGGCCTAACTAGTTTTTCTATGCCTGGCCCCCAATCTCTGAGTCTCCAGACTCAGTTTGGGATCTGTTGGCATCAAAAGATATCATAGGAGCTGGGTGGGGTTGTGCAGGCCTGTAATTTAAGCACTCAGACTGTAGTAGAAGGATGGAGACAGAGTTCAAGGCCAGCCTGGACTACATAGGGAATTCCAGGCAAAACTGGGCTCTTTAGCCAGACTTTATTGAGGAGCAGAAGCAATGAGAATGAAGCATAAATGTAAGATGTCTGTATGGGATGAGACTGACCCTGAGGACATGGGACCCACAGGTTCCCACTTTTCATCCTCTAAGGTTCCCCCACCATGAGGACATGCTGGATTGATGGGGACCTTCTTCCTTCTGATGATGTTCCTTCTCTTGCAGGTTTTATACATCAGGAAGAAGAAAAGGTAATTCCTCAGATGGCCCTGAGGCTGTAGCCTATGGGAAAGGCTGGGCTGGGATCCAGGGGGTGTGAGTGGGAAAGAAGAAACAGGCCCCAACACTAAGGCTCCTCTCCCTGGGGGAGGGGAGGGGGTGGGACAGGGATCAAGGCCTATTCTGCCCACTCGTGATTGGGACAGCTACTTTCAGACACAGGCAGGCAGGGAGGAAGATTCTACGAAAACAAGTGTAACCCTGGTATTGAGAGGTTGGTGGGGAGAAAGGTAGGAATCATGGCCACCCAGATATCCGGATGTCCTAAGTCTCCCCACCTCTGCATCTGATTGCAGTAGGATCTTGGCCCAGGTAGCCCCTGTGGAGCCTATGGATCATGGTCCCACCAGACTTATGAATAGCTATTTGCTTATTCTAAGACAATCCTCTGAGAGTCGAATCGGTACTATAAGTTCAAAGATGTCTGTCAGTGAATTCTAAGGGAAGACTTAGGCACCTTAGACTTGATGTGTGGCTCCCTTGGCCACTAGAACTGAGCGAAGGAGGAAGGCTCTTCTCTACCCTCAAACAGACTCTGCCCTACCCCCAGGCTGGAGAAGCTGCGCCACCAGCTCATGCCTATGTACAACTTTGACCCCACGGAGGAGCAAGATGAGCTGGAGCAGGAACTACTGGAACATGGGAGAGATGCAGCCTCCATTCAGGCTGCTGCCTCCCTGCAGGCCACACAGGGCAAGGTAGGCACTGGCCAGTTTTCCCACCTAGCCTGGAGCTGCCCTTTCTCCTGCAACCCTCCATCCTTTCCACGTATCTTGCTGGCACCTGCCAGGTGATGAAGTGGCACTTTTGAGCACGTGGGTCTCTTCAGATTTATTCAGAAACCGCTGGGTTCTTCCGTGGCTCTCACAGACTCACTGTGCAAAGACGGGCTTTGTGGGATCCAGCCTGGCTCAGCTCTGACAGCCTGTAGGTCGTGGAGGCCCAGTTAGAATCTCTGAGCCCAGTTTTTCTCATCTACAGATGGAAATCCTAATTCTTGCCCAGCAAGCTCTCACAGGTACTAGCTGGGAAAGCAGACAAACAAGCTAGTGAAACTTAAAGGCAGGATCGATGGGCAAATACGCTTCATCTCCACTTCAGCAGGATCTGTGGACCTGAGTGGTTGAGTGGGGTGAGACTCCAGCAGAGGCAGATGAAGCCTAATCCCTGGCAATCCAGGGAAGTGAGGCCCAAGCCAAACACACCTCCTGTATGCAAAGGGGTGGGCACCCAGGCCCTCATCGTGTCAGCCACTGAGCAAGCAAACTGCTTGCTACCATACTCCCAAATCCTCAACGTGGCACCATGTAGGGCTTGGGCCTGTCCTTGGTCCATCCTTGTTTTTGCCCCTGTCCTTGGGGAAAAGAGGACCAGATCTTCCTGCTGACAGAAAAAAAAAAGATACATGCATAATTAATCCAATACTAAGCCTGTAGGAAGTGCTGCCAAGGTGACAGGGCAAGCTAGGAATAGCTTGGGGGAGGGAGGACTTCTGAGCCAGGTCATATTTCTAGACTGAGCTTGGTGGATGGGGACTCTAGACATGAGGCATAGCCAGTGCCAATCAAAAGCAGGCACCAGGAAGTGAGGGTGGAAGTGACTGGACCAGAGACTGCCTTTGGTCAAGGTTTCTGATGCTCCTGCCTGTCTCCCTGCAGAGCACTCTCCCTTCCCAGGGTCCACTGCAGAGGCCCAGCAGGCTGGTGTTTACCGATGTAGCCAATGCCATCCACGCGTGAGAGGCCGGGGAACAGGCCTGGACCTTTGACAAAGACAACTGCCACGGTCCCGGCAGCGCTGCCCACTTCCTGACTGTCAAGACCTATTCTCAGGACCAGAGCCATCACCACCACTGAGGCAGGAAAGGGCTGCAACAGACCCCAGCTGTGCTGAGGCCCTACCTACTGACTCACAAGCTCGCAGAAAGAGCTCTGACCAGGCTAGACATTTGGCCACTGACTTCTCCTGAACCCATGGCCGTGGCATAGAAGGCAGCCTTTATGAAGGAAGGCAAAGAGCTGGCTTCCTGGTCTCCTGTATCCCTTGCATCAAGGTCTGCTTCTCTGATGGGGAGGAAGAGCACAAGCTTGAAGGGGAGTGACTTTTTTTTTTTTTTTTTTTTTTTTTTGAGGCTGGAGTCTCCTCTAGGGTAGAGAGAGGCAAACAGCCAGATGACTGGGACAGGGCAGGGCAATACCTTTTTTTTTTTTTTCAGGTATGTGGAGGGGAGGAAGATTTTTTATTTTATTTTATTTTTTTATTTTATTTTATTTTTGAGACAGGGTTTTGGCTAGCCTGGAAGTTGTAGACCAGCCTGGCCTCCAACTCACAGAGATCTACCTGCGTCTACCTCTTTAAGTGCTGAGATTAAAGGCATGCATCTCCACACACAGCTAGAACAGCACCATTTATAAGCCCAAGAGGCACAGGGAGAGAGCTGGAAATGCCCAGCAGATGCTCTGGAAAGGGCTCCACAAGGCCAGGAGCTATCCATATGTAAGATATTATGGTGAATGGGTAAGCATGAGGTCTTCCAGAAGTCTCTGCCATATTGCTGGCAGCCAAGATAGCTGCTGAGGGAGGCGAAATTGGGAGACTGGGTACGGAAAGATGCAACTCCTGTAGATGTTGGGAAAGGCCACACACAGACACATATGAGTTCTAGCCTAAGAGCAGGACAGAGGCTTTCTGCCTTGGCTCCACCTTGCAAGCTGACTTCCACACAGTGATAGGGAGTGGAGCATTACCACAGGCTACTTCCTCCCCTTCAGTGCTCAGGGCTACTCGGAAGAGAGAATCAAGGCTGGGTTCCTCTATTCACTGTGTTTCTTTAGTGGGCTCTAAAAGCTGGGCACACCTGCTTCTGGAAATGGCTCCTTTCCTGTAAGGGGTTCTGGGAGAGGCTGTTGGTCTAAAGGCAGTCATAGGCCGGAAGCTGGTAGGAAAAGCTATGGTTGCCTGAAAGGGAGTGTCCTTTGAGGAAAAGATCTAAAGAAGAGAGTCTGATTGTAGTTTTCCCCTTCCACCGTATCTGCAGGAAGGGCCACTCAGTGTTCATGGAATATAGAATAGAGTCTGCCGTTCGTCTCCTCTCTAAGTCTTGAAGGTCCGAGACTGACACCAGGGGCATCTGGGCAGAGTAGACCACAAAGACAGGGAGGTTTTTCTACACTGGGACATACGCATGAGCACTCACAGAGGCGTGTCCCCAACTTCCCTGTCATCCCTGTCCCCGGCTGGTTAGAGGGGATGCGGGGGTGGACGTGTGCTATTGGACAGATATCCCATGTCAGGAGGTGAGGGGCTAGGAGGATCCCACGGGGAAGGTTCTGGTTTTATTCCTGCCTCTGGCTGCTATAAATACGTTAGCACTTGAGCAACTGGAAAGCTGCGAGTAATTTAGGATGCACAAGGCTGTAATTTAACTCCAGCATCTCAGTGTGTGAGAGCATTAAAGATGTAATTAAGATGTTTACACAGAGAGAATGGAGTCTGTGACACTTGGGGTGCAAAACCCCGGGAAGGGACACAATGGGTGAGGTGAGGCTCTGTGGGAGGCCTGGGGACAGTCACTTGGATCCCAGCTATGAGATGGCAGACAGCCAGCTGGTTTAACTTGGACATGCTTTGGCCTGGGGGGGCTTCATGCTTTGACTTGGAGATGGGGCAGCAAAGCCTGCAATATCTGGGGGTAGAGAGGTCAAGTAGGTAGAATCTTTTGAGATCAGGTTAGGAAGAGGGCTTGATCCCCAAAGATCATGGGGTGACATATGGTGTCTCGGGGTCCACAGGAGCTATGTCTGAAACACAGAAGTGTTTCACATGGAGAACCAAGTACAGGTGCATGGAACAGAAGGGGGGCGTCAGTAAAGTTATGTGTGGGACCCACCTGTCAGGCTCAGAAAGATTTACAGGAGAATGACAATAGGGTGACCAGTGTGCCCAGGAACACCCAAGTGTCCCTGTGTCTGTGCTGAAAGCTCCATGAAAGCGAGCTGACCCTCAGACTAGCATGACTGAAACATAGAGGGGCTTAGCCTCTAGGTTCCATGATAAAGGGGTGAAGATGGGGACTGTGGGATAGGACTGTAGGCAAGACTGAGGACCGAGTACCCCATGGGCGGGTTACAGCTGGACCTGTCAGCTGTCAGTGACATATTCGCTCTTAGGAAGGACTCTCAGAAGACTGGCAGGACTTCTAAGGGGCACAGGTGAGCAAGTGGGCTGTGTGTTTCCACACTGTTAGTCAACCCCTTGGTTTGGGAATGTGGGTGCTGCAGACCTCTTGGTATTCTGAGGAAAGTGCCTGGGGAGAAAGGGTGACACCCAGGGACCAGAGACAGTGAGGGATGTAGCAGAAACCCTACCGTTTCTGCTGCACGATCCAGGCCTTTTCCTGAGGGGTGGGTCTGGCTAAGTGGTGGATGTAGGCTGCTCTATCGTGACACGGGCCACCCTCTCATAGACTCTGCCCTCACAGTAACACATCCCTTATACCTACATTGTCTTGTTTTCTTGCTTTTTCCTATTTTCTGAGGAAAATCCAGATTCGCAAATTCCCGTGCCTTTCACAGACTGTAGGATTGATACATATTGAGGTGAAAAGTTCCGGTGGTTTTCTTCTCCTTGAGGAATCAAAGCCTAAGGGGACCCTCCTGGCTGTCCTTAGTGGTGAATGGGGTAAGACAGAATTGCCCCCCCCCCATTGCTGCTTCTAAAATTGGCAATTGGGTCCCTCTGAAGAAGGCCCTCCCTCCTCTCAATAATATCTCTCTCTCTCTCTCTCTCTCTCATGCATGAAATCTCTCCTTGTGAATAGGAACCAGAGCTTTGGGTCAGAAGCAGCAGTGGCTGGTAGTGGGTGGAATCAGGGTGGTTGTGGATGGGTGCCTTCAAAGGAGGCCTTCTCTTGTTTAATACAGTGAAGTGTCACCTTGGAGCCAGAGTGAATAAAGTAATCCCATTGCCTGGCTGCAGGCAGACGGTGGGGATGCCTTCAGAATGTAAAGGGACACTCTTGTCGGGGAGGAAGCTCAGAAACTCCTGCAGTGCTCTGACCTTCCTTCTGTAGACTTCTAGAAACATTTCCCTCTAGTCCAGCATCCTATCAGTGAACCCACCCACACTGTACTTCATTCTGTGTGGAAGAGAAAGATGCCAAGTGGGGGAAAGATGAAAAATGTTATGAGCAAGGGTCCTATGTGTCCACATCTTTATATTTACAGCTAAACAGAAAAAAAAAGGCCCAAGGTTAAGCCAGGGAACGAGTGCACAGGGTGATCGAAGCCTGAGGCGGTTGTGTGTGGTGTGTGTGTGTGTGTGTGTGGTGTGTGTGTGTGTGTGTGTTGGTGGTGGGGTTTCTCAAAGAGTACCTGAGGGAAATCCCAGAACATCCTGGCCTCTGAGGACTCAGGACTTGGGGAACAACTACAGGTGAGAAAGCTACAGTTTCCCAGAGGACACTCATGAGAGGCCATGAACACTGAGAAAGGAACAAAGAGTATGTGAACATCAGGTGCAGGGAGAGGAAGAGGATGGGGGAAGCATGGAGCCCCTTAGGCGTGACCAAGGGTGATAAAAGCAGATGCTATCCCACCCGGGGCTAGGGCTGTCCTTGGCATGCCACCTCACTTCACCCCCAGAGCTAGTTGGCAGTGACTTTACTTACTAATCCTTAGCTTGAATCCTGCAGAGGCAGATCAGGGTGGGGACAGGATTCCTTAAGGACATCTGGATAACTCTCCTTCTCCAAGTCCCCAAGGTGAAGGGAAGCCAACATGCAGGATATTGCTCAGTGGTTAAAGCATGTACTGCTCTGGCAGAAGACCTGAGTTCTGTTCCCAGCATCGATGTCAGGTGGACCACAACCTCCTGTACCTCCAGCTCCAGAGGACTGCTTTTCTTGCCTCCAGAGGCGTGTTCACTTATGTGTGTGCACAACCCTATGCATACAGATAATTTTACAAAGAACAAATAGGTCTTTTTTTGGTAAGGAATCCCAAGAATCCCAGAGCAAAGCCCAATGCTAGAGCCTTTATTCAAGAGAGACACTACGAAGTGGATAGAGGGGTCAAAGGTACTGAGACTTACCTAAGAAGACAGTTTCCTTCCCTAGCCTCTGCCCGGGTATAGGAGTATGTATTAAAAAAAAAGTCTGCTTTTCAGATGATCCCAGTTTGCACTTCCTAATTCTCATGGTACATCTAGGAAGGTGACATCCTTGGAACTTGGTTGGACCCCTGAACAGCAGACCTGAGATTCCTGTATGACAAATGGGTCACTAGGAGGTAGGAAGGTAGAAACCTTTGAGGTCTTCCGAAAGGCAGGGTTTCTATACCTCGCATTGAGAAACTGAAACCTGCAGGCAGGGGAAGCTGGGAGAGGTAGTCTTTCTCCAAGGCCAGGGATTCTATCTCTGATGGCTCAGGCTAGCTCTGATCAGTAAGCCACTGCCTGGGCTAGTGTCTTAGGGTTTCTGTTGCTGTGGTAAAACACCACAACCATAAACGACTTGGCGAGGAAAGGGTTGATTTCAGTTTACAGTTCCACATTGTAGTCCATCATTGAGAGAAGTCATGGCAGGAGCTTGGATGCAGGAGCTGGTACAGAGGCATCATGTGGGCTGCTGCTTACTGACTTGCTCCTCATAGCTTACTCAATGGCTTGCTTATACACCCCAGGACCAACTGCCCAGGAGTGGCACTACCCACAGTGACCTGGGCCCTCCCAAATCAACTCATCAATCAAGAAACTGCACCACAGGCTTGTCCACCGGCCAAAGGGATGGGGGATTTCTCAATTGAGGTTCTTTCTTCCTAAATGACTCTAGCTTGTGTCAAGTTGACATAAAACTACCCAGCATAGCTCAGCCCTTGTATCTGGAGGCAAGCTCCAGACAGCTTGAGCTCCTATGAGCTTGGAAGCAGAGAGAATCAATCACAGGGGGACGTCCTTCCTAGTGTGCAGGGGGCTAGAAGGGCAGGACGAGGTCCAGGATGCAGCTGAC